CTTGCCGTACGCAAGCGAGAGATATACCATCGGAACCGATATCCAATTGTCTTTCATCTGAGCCCTACTTGAAAAATCGATGCACTTCCCCTTTAACGCGTAACATCTCAGGCTTTGTAGCAGGGAGTAGCACAATACCATTGTACCATTGTGCTACTCCTTGCTTGACACAGACATGCGTCATAGTGACATTTGCGAATAGCTAGTTGTCTCAGCAGTATAACATTTATTTAATTTTGTGTTTCACTCAGACGACTATAGCATCTAGATTCGGAATAGTCTTACTATCTTGAGACGGGTCAGCCATACGGGTCAGCCATACCTGAAACATGTCGTTCATTGTGACTAAAACTTGCGTCAACATTATCTATTCCCCTAGAAACGACGTGAATAACTAAAAGCAAGAGTACATAACCCCCCAGAGTGTGCAACGCCTGATCCAGCTTAGCATAGGGTCTTGGTCGAGCGGAATCGGATCTTTGCGTCATAATACCGTACACATTTGAGGGGAACCCGGGGAGTCGCGGGTACTCTTGGATCAAAAACAATGGTGCCCTGCCTCGAGACCGGCCTTGCGCTGGTGTGAAGTGTACGCATGACATCAGAAGATCCGATTCCGCTCGACCAAGACCCTACACAGAGCTGGATCGGCGTTGCACACTCTGGGGGGTTATGTACTCTTGCTAAAAGTAATACAAATTAAATTAAGAAGAAAAATTCACTCTTACAAGCCGCCCACGTAAATACTGGACACACTGAAGGTACCCGTGCGAAGGCCAGCTGCTACTTGATATCATTCGTAGGATTCATCCTCATCACTCAGCAAAGACTGATGGATTCCTTCCCTACATCGGCAAAACAAACTTCAAAAAGTACTGCTCGAAAACTTCTTGACAGCATTCTGGCACTCTCTTGAAGTGGTTCTATGAAAATTTTTGAAAAATGCTACGAAATGCTACGATAAAGACACTCTCATCCTTCGCTCGTACCCAGCCCCAGGCAGCGTACACTACTTTTGTTCGTGCTCTCTCATGCCGCTGGACATTCTTGTGTCGTGTTCTGCCGGATGCGTCCAGTGGTCTTGATCAGTTGGAACACGCCATTGTTACCAAGCTGCTGCCAGCCCTGACTGGAGAAGAAGTCAGTCTGGAGCTGCGACGGCTGTTTGCCTTCCCTTGCCGGGATGGTGGCCTGGGCATCGTCAATCCAACATCTCTAACAACCCAATACGCCTCATCCCGCGCGATCACAGCGGCGCTCACCACCAACATCCTCGACCAAGACTTCAGTGTGACGGAAGCTCTTGCCAGCGTTGCCTCAGCCAAAGCGTCACAGCGTGCAGATCACCGCCAGAAAGCGAAGACCGACATCCGTGGCTTCGCTGCCGACGCATCGCCCACTTTGCAGCACACAATTCAGTTGGCAAGTGAGCCTGGCGCCTCCAGCTGGCTTACTTGTCGTCCGCTATCCCGTCATGGATTTGTGCTATCCAAAAGCGAGTTCCGCGATGGTTTGGCACTGCGCTATGGCTGGCGGCCTTCTCGCTTACCGTCAACCTGTGTCTGTGGAGCCAGCTTCACAGTAGCCCATGCCCTGACATGCAGCACCGGAGGTTTCCCGTCACTTCGACACAATGAGGTGCGGGACATCACTGCCTCGCTATTGAAACGTGTCGCCAATAGTGTCGCTATCGAGCCACACTTACAACCGCTCTCTGGTGAGCAGCTCCGCTACAAGACTGCCTCCACAGAAGACCAGGCTCGACTTGATGTTGCGGCGAGTGGTGTTTGGGGAGGTCGGTTTGAGAGAGTCTTTCTCGATATTCGGGTTTTCAACCCCTTTGCTCCCTCAAATCGATCCTCTTCCATCACCGCTTGCTACCAGCGTCATGAACGTGAAAAACGGAGGCGATACGAACAGCGCGTCAAGGAGGTCGAGCGTGGAACCTTCATCCCTGTGGTTTTCGCTGCAACTGGTGGTACTGGTCGAGCTGCTGCCGCTCTCCTCAAGAGAATAGCTGCAATGGTCTCCGACAAATCTGGTGAGCCATACTCTGCAGTGATGGCATGGATCCGCTGCAGGTTCAGCTTCGCCCTTCTCCGTGCAGGCGTGGCTTGCCTGCGTGGTGCACGACGGCTGTATTCGCACCCGGAGGTGGCTGAGTCATCCGCTCGACTCGCTGTCTCGGAAGCTGCCATACAGCACTAGACACTTGTTTATGCCTCGTCATCATTGCTTTTTCTCGTATGGTCCATGTATGTAACTACTGGTACTTGTTTTTATTGAATCACTGTGTTACTAAATTCTGCCCGTACATAAAGGTACGCAAAGTACGACATTTCGTGACGTTTCCCGGGACACAGCGCTCCACAGAAAAGTGACCTGAGGCAAAGCTCGCCCGCCTAGATGTGTGCCCGTGTCACCTCCCGGTATTGTACTACACAGTCACTGTACTCCCTGGTGCAGATACTACTTTTGCACTGTACGAGTACGGGTTGACTCCAGAGTGCGTATTCCGTGCCTGTGCTGCTCCATCCAGCTCAGGAGAGACTTCTGCTACGGGTACGCTAAGTATGGGTGCGTCAGGTGCGGGTGTAACCTTTTTGAATTCCGAACTGCCAATTTCTCTCTTCAGAACTTCAATTTCGGCGTGGAGGGCTGAAATTTCGGCTTTTTGGCCAACCTTCAGTGCCACTATTTCAATGCTCAGGTTTTCAATACAGGTCGTCAAAGATAATAGTTTGCACCCCGTGTTCATGAGTTGTTTCTGCACTGTTCATGCCCGTTTGTCACACTTACTCTTTATTTTAGTTCTCACTTTTTGTAATACTTACCACAAGTTACCCGTCATGTGTCACACTTCTTTGGATTTCATACTCATACTTCATACTTTTCATAGCTATTATTAAACCTTTCTATTACAGCACTTAACTTCAGTTTCTTTGGTTGTATCCTTTAGTTCCGTATTTTTCCCACTGACGATAGGAACGAGAAAATCGATTCTGGGTTTCAATAATATTTTTGTTATAAAATACACAGTCATACATGTCGAACAAGTAACGTAGTTGCGTGATGTCTGCGGCCTTCATCCTAGTCATAGCTAATATGTAGCTATGAGTAGGATGAAGGCCGCAGACATCAAATTTATTATTAAAATAATTATTATCTCCACGTAGATTATTCAGTCAAATATTCCTGCATATTTCACTCCTTAGGGCTGTATTTACTGCTTATACTGTCTTGACTCCTTTGTAGGGATTGAACACAATCATGATTTTGGTTTGTCGTGATAAATCTAATATTGATTTGCATCATACTACAGTAGTAGCACAATCATAGTCATTATGATTTTACGTGTTAGGCCACCCTTTCTTTTTTCGTTGTTTAACGTCCGCGCCCGCGTACCTTTTTGCCTCAGACTGGAAAAAAAAAACAAGAAAGTAGTAGTACCAATAATATGCGAAGTTGTAAATACATGATTGTGTAGTTTCACAGTGTGCCGATCATGACCTTAAACTTATAATCTTGCCTCCCGGGCATGCCTAGCGCCTTTGTCTTGTGTTCTTTTTCTTTTTTTGTTGGCTTTTAAATATCGTACGGTGTGTGTCCTAGTAAAAATCCAGATGTAATGAATTCATGACATGCTAACTCCATGCTATGTACCTGTTTTGTTGGATTCATCAGGCATGTGCTCCAATGTACCATCAAAGGGTGTTGTTCTATGCCTGCAAGTGCCGTTAGACCCAGAAATATTGTATATATCACATGCTTTACTGGTCAAAATGTTTGATTGGGGTTTCCAGTTTTTGGAATGGGCTTTTGTTTTTTTTCCGCCCTCCCGCGTACCTTTTCGCGAAAAAAAGGACGTTAAAGGGGAAGTATACCCTAAAATCAAATTTTCACCAGTTGTAGTCTTCGGGGTGCTGAGTCGAATGGTCTTGGTCCGAGGAAGCTGCGACGCTCCCTTCCTACTTGAATCCCAATCGAACTCGCGCACTTCCACCGAAACTGGGTGACTGCGCCCTACTAGATGGGGATTTGTATGCAAAATGTCACTAAAAGCGCCATTTCGTTCTTATAAAAGCACGGATGACCGCGATTGGCCCATATGTTGTAGTCTTTTGGACGCTGAGTCGACTGGTTTTGGTCCGAAAAGGCTGCGATGCAGCGTTCCTCCTTTATTCCCAATCGAACATGGTTGAAGAAGCGGTCACGTGGTCCTTGTTGCCCAAATCACCTGGTCACCGCGCCAGCAGGCGACAACTTTCACACCAAGGTTCAACTCGAGCGACAGGACTGCACCCAAAAAAGGTCAAACAGGCTAGTAAGTTGTACCCTGCAGGCACGGTGACCAGGCGACTGGTGTACGCAGGAGCACGTGACCGTTTGTTCAACTATGTTCGATTGGGAATAAAGGAGGAACGCTGCATCGCAGCCTTTTCGGACCAAAACCAGTCGACTCAGCGTCCAAACGACTACAACATATGGGCCAATCGCGGTCATCCGTGCTTTTATAAGAACGAAATGGCGCTTTTAGTGACATTTTGCATACAAATCCCCATCTAGTAGGGCGCAGTCACCCAGTTTCGGTGGAAGTGCGCGAGTTCGATTGGGATTCAAGTAGGAAGGGAGCGTCTCAGCTTCCTCGGACCAAGACCATTCGACTCAGCACCCCGAAAGACTACAACTGGTGAAAATTTGATTTTAGGGTATACTTCCCCTTTAAACAATGAATTAACAAAGGGTGGCCTTACTTCAACTCATATCATGTAAACTCGAACAAAAAATGGGCTGGGGCGTCTGTTACTTACTTGCTAGCCCTGCACTGCTCGCTCCATTCATATCCATGGATGCAGCCCGGTCTGGAGTTGCATCTTTTTGTGACCCCAACACTCAACTCAAGGCAACAGCAGTACACAATCATGTAGACTACAGGCAACACGATGGCGCGGCACTGACTCCGTACTGTAGAGTGTAGTCAGTAGATCTACGAATGCAGAGATGGCAGTTTAGATCGTCCTAACCATGATGATAACACTGTAGCCCGGATTTCAGTTAGCACAACTGCAGTTTCGACACGCTGCACTCTAACACGAGATTCCGTATCGGCAACGGGCCGGGACGGGGACTGAAGAAGGGCTTCCTCAGCGATTCAGAAGCGCACTGCACGCTGTAGTCTTTGCAGAAGACCCCGGCGTTTGTCTTGTAAAACCGAAGTGAGCGCGACCATTTGGAGTTAGACGAGCTGTAGATCCAGCCGATCAGTCTCGGCTGCCGCCCGCTCCCAGTCCAGGGCCTTTTCTGCGATGTGATGAAAGCATGCGGCAAGGAATTTTAGCGGCCGCGTTCAGGCCAGAGCAAAGTATCAGTAGTCGTGTAGTGGGAAGATGGAGACAACACCCGAGAAACTTAGGCCTAGGGTGTCGGGACTGCGTCTCGAGTGTGAACGAATGCACCAGGCCGCCGGTTCTCGCCTATTTCGAGCGCGGACGCTACAACAGTCAACAGTTCAGTTTACTTGGACGATTTGTTCAGGCACGTGTTTTAGCCCAAGTGACAGTTACGAGGAAGAAGACCACCGAGTCTTTGCTGTTTTATCGTCGACTGGGTGAACTTGTCCTTGAGTGGTTCCTGCTCGCGAGGGAGTTCGTTGGACGAGTGAAGAGCTTGTTTGTACCCAGTATGCCGTAGTAACATTATAACTGAACAATCTGTGCGAGGTACGTGCCTGGTGTGTCGGATCCTGCAACTCCGCGTGGCAGTTCAAGTGGACAGCACTCGATTCGTAAGCATCGCTGTGAGTTTCCAATAATACGGTAATACTAGCTACTGACTGTTACCTGTTACTGCGGCCTTGGTAGTTGGAGTGGTGCAAGATTGGTGTGCTCCCGGACTCCCAACTGCGCACACACGTGCCAGGTAAGAATGTGTGTGGCATTACGATGGCCATCACTCTAGATCTGTGACTTTAGTGCTACCTGAATCGAAGCAGACGCAAAACTCGTCTTGTTATGCTGGGCCAGGGAAAATTGAGTCCCCGGCCCCACTTCTTGTGGTGCTTGTCAAACTTACTTTGCAACCCCACCCGTCTTTGAAAACTCCACTGCACGTTGATGCATTGCACTTCCGAGCAAATTAACACAAAAACTAGAATAAGGGAACGAAGCGACTTGTGTGTGTTGGTGGACAACTCACAAATACATGATTGTATCATGAGGTCCTAAACGAACAACATCGAAAAGGGCACATGAAATCACGCACTGGTTGACCAGACACTTTGCTATGTTTGGGTTTGAAGACAAAGTCCGCTCACTCTACATAGCCAAACACACTTTCACCCGGCACCTGTGCTTTTTTATACTGAAGACCAGAATGATATTTTAACGTCAAAGTTAACGATCTCCTGATTTCTGTGGGTTAGCGAGGTGAAATTCTAACGAATTCTGTCTCAAAACCGGCAAATGACAGTCATGTACATATCGTTTTGCACACAACGATTTCAAATGTTAACGATTTTTATAAATTCGTTAAATCGTTAGAATTAACTGTTCGTTAACATTACTGGTCTTACAGTAACTTCTAGGTCCAGCAAGATCACCATTTATATGGCCAACTGCAAAACCGTGTGGTTGCTGTAGTAGGCAGAGTAGATGAGATGGTTTCAAAATAGGAAATAGGTTGCAAACCGGAACGGGCTCAATATTCACTTTCTTTCTTGGTATTTTGATTAGAAAACATAATTATTATGTCACAGTGAGACTACGATGTGTTTTACTCCGAGCCAAACGTTCAAGGCTCTACGATGACCAGAAGCGCCATACCAAGCAGGTGAGTCTTCGACGTGTTGCTTCGCAGTTAGCGCTGCGACTTGAATTGAACGTCTTTCGAAAAGCCAATTTCTCGTTCCACATACAAGTATACTGGTACACACAGAGACATAGACAACAATAGCGACAACACACAAAGTGAAGGCTGGTTGGCCGCAGCCAGATGTCGCAGGTAAACAGCGGCTCGCCTCTCGCCAAGAAAGCACCGTATACCAATGAAAACTAATGGAAGCACACACAAAGCTTATTGGTGCTCTGTACTGGCCGTCGTGGAGCGATAGCAATTACCTAATTTCAGAACTCAGTATGAACTTAACGTGCACTCCAACTTGTTCCGGTTTGGAGACACCAAAATTTGAAATGAAAAATCTGGCAACTTGGAGGCAACGGGCCAACACCAAGGAGTGGCTCAGTTCAATCGACTCTGGCCTCAGAGCAAACTTGAACATGCCAGTTTCCTTCCACAAACACAATTATTTAGAGTGAACAATCCATGCTGATGATCGGTTTGGGTCTACACAATTTTGCTGTCGAACCGTTCCTATTTGAAACCGTCTCCTCTGCATAAGATCCCAAGAGTGTTCAACTCTGGAAATCCTTTCTATGGGGTACACCGATGGCAAAACCTCACAGTGCTCCAGGCGTATGTTCCCGGCCTGTTTCTAGCAGCCAATGAAGTTGAAAGAATAGCATTCCCCGACAGAAACCCACTAAGCTGATGCGAGTCATCGGCGGGTATCCGATGGAGAAACTCACATCACGTGCAGAACCTGTATGGCCGCACCAGCTCTTTGGCCACCGATGCGGGTTTGCTGTTGCTTAAGAGGCGATGCGTGCCTTTCCGTATCGTACATAGCGGATGAGAGGCGACGGTGTGGTCAATCAATAAGCCCATTGCGCATTGCCAAATATGGAAGGTATGAGTAATGCGTGTGAGTACACTGGGATCAAGAATGCGCTGTTCAACACCCCAGACGACCATGCCCAGGTGGCAGTCTAGGGTGTTTATGGTAAAGATTACGGCATTGCGCAATGGGCTTATTGGTGCTTCTACCGGTCCTGTTGTAGAAGGCTACTGAACGTAACCCATAAATGCTAAATCACATTGAAACCAAACTTCGACAATTCCGGCACCCCGATTCGGCGTCAGGTGGTTTTGCACACACAACGATGAGCTGTTATAGCTCACGTGACATGGTGCCTTATCACATTCAGGTATGGCCCGATGAAGCCTCAAATACCCGTGGCCAATTATTATTATTATTATTATTGAAGTGTGTGGGTACAATGAGGGCTGCGTCCCACCCGCCTGTGTGGATTCACAGGAAGTGTGAGCTACGAAGTCTGAAGAAAATGTTGAACAGTCTCTGCTGGGATGACGACTACACCATAGCTCAGTGGTTAGAGCATCGCTAGCTACAAGCGAAGGTCCCTGGTTCGAGTCCTGGTGGTGACAGTCAATTTTTTCTTCAGACTTTTCCCGTTTGTCTCTTTCCCTCAAACTAGTGAAGATTATTATTATTATTATTATTATTATTATTATTATTATTATTATTACTTGCATGTACGCGTTGGAGTCAACCATGCAAGCATGATTCACAACTTCGCTTATGCTGAACATGATAAACACGTGGCCAATAATGCATTGTCAAAATATGTAGTGGATTAGTAATGCATGCAAGTATGCTGGGATCAGCAATGCACTGTTCAACGCCCCACACAACCATAGATCAGCAATGCACTGTTCAACACCCCACACAACCATAAATCAGCAATGCACTGTTCAACACCCCACACAACCATAGATCTGCAATACACTGTTCAACACCCCCCCCCCCCCCCCCCCCCACAACCGTAGATCAGCAATGCACTGTTCAACACCCCACACAACCATAGACCAGCAATGCACTGTTCAACACCCCCACACAACCATAGATCAGCAATGCGCTGTTCAACACCCCACACAACCATGGATCAGCAATGCGCTGTTCAACACCCTACACAACCATGGATCAGCAATGCACTGTTCAACACCCCCACACAACCATAGATCAGCAATGCACTGTCCAACACCTCACACAACCATGTGCGGATGGATGTGTGGGGTGTTGGCACTACAAATTTCGTCATTTCGCAATGAGCTTATTGCCTGGTCGACAGCGGTTGCTCATCAATCAGAACTCTGCTCATACCTGTGTTTTTGTGTAATCACTTCCTTTCCCTCCGTTTCTGCAGAGGTGATGCCGACACTATACGGAACCATGGCGAACTCCAGCGTGGGACCACGGTTAACCGTGGCCGGCATGGGGTCGGCATTCAGTGTAGATATTGCGGGCACCGGTAACAGCACGGTCACCGGCCCAGCCACCGACGACGGGCAGATTGACTACTACGATCGAGATCGGCGCATTGCACTCGGAGTGGTCAGCGCGTTCCTCGTCACCATCATGCTCCTCAGCGGCTTGGCCGTCGTCTACTATTACGTGTTGCGACGAAGACGTCGACGCAAGGGAAAGGATCGCCATGACAACGAGTACCCACGACGACGCTTCAGCATTCCGTACGGCAAGAAACCCAAACTGCCGCCCAAGCCGGCAAAGAAGAAAGCGACGACTCCATTCAAAACCGCCTCGCGTCCTGCGCACACTATTCACTACAGCCTGGTCCCGCCCAAGACCAAGAAACATGTGCTGAACACGAAATCGGAGACCGACAGTGCCACTGGCACTAAGGACACGTCGTCCCCCGTACCGCATACTCAACCCCACCAGCATGAGCAGCTGACCAAGGGCGTAACCAAAAGCTACCAGAGCACGTCGCTACGGCGAGTGACCGCCGTCACCCACGAGAGCAGCGGCAGTAGCAGTTACTATGAGCCGCTCTCCACCGGACCGGGAACGAGGTCGAACAGCATGGATGATCTGTTAGACGGTCCCCACCGTCGATCGACAGAATCACGACCCAAGACGTCCGACGACGTGTTCTCTGACGCTCCGTCGCGATCATCGCCGCCGAAGCCGCGCCGGGAAACCGCAGGCGAGGACGCAGCCCGCAACGAGATGTGCCTGGCAAGCGAGCTCCTACTGACCATGCAGGAAGAACAGGAGATGAAGGCCGTCGCCAGCGACAACTCACCCAAGGGCCAATCCCCCGGCACGTTCCCACCGCCACTGACCAAACGTCCAACCGGCCTGTCGGCTATGTTGCCCATGGGACTTGACTATGACGAAGATGCTCTACTGGAAACACTGCGAAATCAACAGAAAGAGGGTGCCGGTTACGTAACAGACGAGGAGCTGATCGAGAGCAGTGTTCACGGCACCATACAGCTGATAGTGCGCTTCGACACCAGTCGCGTGTTCCACGTCATGGTCAAGTGCCTCAACGACTTGCAGAACATCGGCGGAGGGGAGGCGGCACTGCCAAACGCGTTCGTCAAGATCCGCCTGCTGCCCGACCGCAGTGCCAAGTGCAAGACGCGGGTGATCAAGCGCTGCAACAACCCCATCTACAATGAAGAGTTCCTCTTTGCCGGCTACTCCATGACGTTCTTGCAACGTGCAAAGCTGCAAATACAGGTAGAGCACCATGTATCCACTGTGTTTCCCTGAATTAAATAATCCCCCGTTTTTACAGAAAAGAAAAAGGACCAAGGAACTGCAAGTTACGCTATAACGTCCACTAATACCACCTGTTACTAAACAATCAGCTCATGCGTGGACATTATAGCGTAACTTGTAGTTCCTCGGCCCTTTTTCTTTTCTAAAATGTTTTCCTTGGCTCTCCATCCGAGTCCATTTTTGCTGCAAAAAACGGTTTGCTTGAGACCCAAGACGTTCTTGCAGCGTCCAAAGTTGCAAATACAGGTACAGCAGCCATGATTGTATCAACCGCATCTCCCTGAAATGTTATTCCCCCTTTTACACTAAACCCGAGGTCGAAGTACATCAAGGTAGGTGGTAAGACTCACGAGTGCAATTGAGTGTGATCAAATCACATGTAAAAGTCTCTTTGCAGCAGTATTTCTGGAATAAGAGAAAAACAAAAGCATGTGCAAAGGATGATCCGATTGAATGGAAAAAGTGGTACAGTCGGACGTCTCTTATCCGGGCACCTTGGGACCGGGCACTGCCCGTATCTCAGATTTGCCCGTATCTCAGGATAACTCATCTACCATGTATCATATCACTTTTTGAAGAAGTTTATTTGGAACGTATTGCACATGTTCAGGATACAAAAGGAACCCATTGATAAAAATGTGTGGACTACATAGGTTGGCAGTGAAAAATGAGCACTTCCTCATACGGAAAAAAGTAAAAAAAATCCCAAATTCGAAGCATTTGTGCTATAGGAACTCAAGCTGAAGGTGCCCGGTAGAGAGACGTGCCCGTATCTGAGGCGTCCGGATAAGAGGCGTTTGAGTGTATATGTAACTTTGCACAGAGTTGGGGATTTCATGGAGAGCTAATAATAGTGACAAATTCTGTACTTCAAACAGCCGTAACTCTGTGATGGAGAACGATTTTGGACTGAGGTTGTTGCACAGCGATTTGAAAAGGCAGTGTTGATAGCATTGTTCATTGACTATAATGATTGGTGTGTCAAATCGATTCCAACTTGGTTCTACTTTTCTTTCTGCTTGCTGTGCCCCCCCCCCCCACCTATATATCTATCGCTTTCTCTCTCTCCCTCTCTCTCTCTCTCTCTCTCTCTCTCTCTCTCTCTCTCTCTCTCTCTCTCTCTCTCTCTCTCTCTCTCTCTCTCTTCCTTCTCTCTTTCCCTCTCTCCATCCTGTCCCATCGCCTGTCATAGGTGTTTCATTATGATCTGCTATCTAAGAGGCAACTGATCGGTGAGCTCTCCATTTCACTTCGTCATCTCAACCTGCCCAAGGGAGTGACACTCTGGAGAGGTCTCAATGAGCCACGGCGTGAGGAACGGGCTGCCTGATTGCACAGAGGATGCTGTGTGAGGGTCGATCTGGCTTCTTGCATATTCTGTTGAAGCTGGATTGCTTGGGGTGTGCATGGGTGTATAGAGAGCAAGAGAGTCAGACGCAGACTCTGTGTGTCCGTATACAACAGTGGGTGTGAGGGTACTTTTGTTTTGGGTGTGTGTATGTGTGTGTGTGTGTGTGTACGTGCATGTGTGTGTGTATGCGTGCGTGTGTGTGTATGTGCGTGCGTGCGTGCGTGCATGGGTGAATGTATGCGTCAGCACAGGTATATCTGTCCCAAAGACTCTATTCTTCATGTTCTGTCTGTGCATTTCCAATTTTATATCGACAGTATCCACGATATTTGACTGTGCACAAGTGAACTAAAGTTGCAGAAAGTAACAATCGCTCTAATACGGTGTGACTGTTTGATCGAAAATCTGCAGTACGTTTTCCCTTGCGCTCATGGTACCATAAACATCAGAAGTTTCTTTTGTGTTGCACGGAGAACCAAAGCTTTTGTTGGATTTCATTTCTTCATTCTACTTGGTACGAAGTACCTTTTTCCGCAGCCTTCTGGCTTGTGTATTTGCGACTACTCAACTGCCAATAAAAGCTGCTCTGCTGTTCTCTTACAAAAACCGATTCTACAACCATGTAATTATCACTTATCTCCGAATCCAACATGGCATAGAAGTGGTCTACTCTCACTATAAAGCTTATACGAATCCAGCCTAATGGCGGTGAAACTAATTTCCCGCCTTCCTGTTATGGCTGCTGTACTCTTTGGCGGAATTATCACCATCATTTATCCTATGAAGCCCCCACCCCAACACACACACACATACGCACTCTCTGATTGAGCGTCCTCCTGTCAATAGGTGACGTCCTCCCCCCCCCCCCCCCCCCCCACACACACACACACATACGCACTCTCTGATTGAGCGTCCTCATGATTGTCAATAGGTGACGTCCTCCCCCCCCCCCCCCCCACACACACACTCTTTCTTTTGTCGTTGTTGGTGTTTTTCCATGACATTCAATGCACATACAGTCCATAGTGAGTATCGGAGGGTCCGTACAGGCACATTTTGTCTGGGGTGAAGTCGGGAATCCCCCCGCACGTTGCATTTTGCATGGCAAGACAATTTTGGAAACGGAAAATGGGTTGAGAAGTATCCGTTTCCTCTACTGCAAAGTATTTTGACCCGGCTAAAACACGGCCTGTAGGGCATTGAGGGTCATGCGTGTCCTGGGCGCCAAACGTGCATGTTGGGTCCCAATTCACCAAGCGCAGCTGTATGCGTGTAGTTGCTAAGGCTCTCCATTGCAAAGTGCCACAACTCACTTCAAATGCAACAAGTAACAACTACTACCGGGCCAACTCCTGGAAATAGAAAAATAGTCGGGAACACGATTACCTCCAAGAATACTGACGGATAGAACTGACAAAATTAATTCAACGGGTGAAAACTGTGTCGGTAAAAAAAATGCCAACAGAAGCGGCACGGACATCACAGTCATGAAGGCGTCCAATCAGAAACCAAGCCACTGTTCAAGACTGTCATCCAACCTAAATATTACGTGTTTTTGAGGCTGGAAAGAATCGTCCATAACTCGAACTCAACATTTGATCTGGTAAATAACTTATAACAATTGGTTACTCCATCTCCGTATAATATGATGTTGTCGATAAAGGTCAAAAACTGAATACATACTTTGCATCTTGGTTTCTCAAGCTATGGGGGAGGGTGCCAGCTTTGCTTTTGGATCTCCTTGCGTCGTGGCGCCTGGAATCAACGTCGACCCGTTTGGCGTGTTCCCCGGGTGTCTGCAGCATTTTCTTGGTTTGCCGCGCGGCGGCCGAGCGTGAAGTCCCTGCCGTCATGCTTCGCCGAGCCGTCTGGTTGCTACGCGGGATTTGTGACTCCGAGCCGCTGGCCAGTTGAGTCGCGTTGTGCCTCAGGTCCTGGAGGAACTGGGACGGCGGCTGCTGCGACAGATCGAGCATCTGCTGAGCGGGCGACCACGCTCGTCTGACCTCCTTGCGCACGCCCATATAGGAGAGTGGCGACTTGGAGCGGTGCGAATGGAGACCGCTCTCCTCTCCCAGGTCGTCTCGACTGTAGAACTTTGCCCCGGGCCAGGCCGCAGGGCCGGTGGTACCCTTTGCCATGGCGGGCAGGTGCGAAATACCCTCACCCCCATTCCGGGACAGGACCTCGTGCAAAACGAGCTTCTGGTACACCTGCCGACTGTAGTCCTTCAGGAAGCAGCTGAAGAGGACACTGTCGTCTGGACATCTATAAGTTGATCAAAATATGAGCACAGACAAACACACATAAACACAATCATAAACACACTCATATACAATCATGTGAATGCATGCACATATACACCCACACGCAAGCCCACACACATGTACGCACTCACACACACACACACACACACACACACACACACACACACACAGGCACACACGCACACACGTGTGCACACATGCAGCAGAAAGGTGGTTCTTGACACGCCCGGTACACAAATCCGCAATGCAATTTCTATTTCTGTACTGAGCTACCTCATGGTAAACACTTACCTCAGAGTATGCAGATTCCACCGTACGCACTTCATATCTCACACAGTTATACACCAAAACCCGAAAACGGACTCTCGGCTACAAATTCTTCCAAAAAAATGAAAATAAACTCCCGAAGATGGGCCTGGTCTGGAAATTTGGATTTGATCTTTACTTATAAAAGAGAGGCACCTGTGACGTGTGTCTGTGTGTGCGTCACGCTCCTTATAAAGAAGAGGCACCTGTGAGGCTGTGACGTGTGTTTTTGTGTCACGCTGAAGCGCTGCGGAGCAGCGCTGCCCTGAGCACGCGAAGCGTGCGAACAGTGTAGCACAGTGTAGCTAGCGGCCGCAGAAGCACTGAGCACGCGAAGCGTGCGAATCGTGTAGCTAGCGGAAGCAGCCTAGCCACAGAAGCACTGAGCACGCGAAGCGTGCGAACAGTGTAGGTACGGTGGTAGCGCTTATACTTATAGCAGACACGATCAGTAGATCTCTACGAGTAGCAGTAGCAGCCGCGCGCAGAAGCACTGAGCACGCGAAGCGTGCGAATCATGTAGCCACCTAGCCTAGGCCATAGGCATAGGTAGCACTAGCAGCCGCACAAGCGCTGCGAACCACGTGAACCGTTCTCTGCAAATAGAAACATCTGCAACAAAAGGATACAAAAGATCTGCACTGACTGCACTCTGCATCTGATCTGCAGTGAAGAGCGCATCGCACTTTTGTTCGTAAGTTTATGAATTTTTTGAGCCGCTTCATCCGCCACCAGGTGATGGACAACCCTGACCAGCCTCCCGAAGGCGTGACAGACGTCCCTCCTTCTCCTTCCAACGATGAAGAACCTCCCTCACCAGGACTTCAGCGGTCTGGCCACCACCACGTGCTGAGCACGTGTGCTGTTCATGTACTTGCTTCACCCGCATGCCACATTCGGCCAGGCAACGCTGGCGGGGGTGCTGCTAGTTATTTATATTTTCGGAAGAATTTGTAGACGAGAGACCGTTTTGGGGTAGTGGTATACAACTGTGTATCTCATCGTATAGTGCTGCTCAATAAAATCCAGTCGATGCACTCATGTACGCACTGGGCGTTGCACAGCCCGAGACCTGCGGACACTGGGAGAAATGAGGCAAGGCGCAAATTTGAGTGATACGACTGAATTTCATTGAGCAGCACTGTCAATGTATCGACAACACAGATCTGTTCGGATTGCCTTACATGCTTATCCCGGCCCCGCCTTCCAGCTGTTTCCAGAACGCCAGCGGTGCGAAGGAGAAGAGAGTGACCTTAGGTATGCGCAGCACGCGTACACCACATTTGTTGGCCAGCAGCATCATGGGCTGAGTCTCCGGATTCACCAGTGTGGATAGGTCCTGTGTGTCCGAACAACAACGATGACGACGGCAACAACAACAACAACAACAACAACAACAACAACAACATATCTCTTATTGGCGATGGTGCCATCGTGAGAATAAAGAATTCAAACAACAACAACAACAACAACAACAACAACAACAACAACAACAACAACAACAACAACAACAACAACAACAACAACAACAACAACAACAACAACAACAACAACAACAACAACAACAACAACAACAACAACAACGACAACAACAACAACAACAACAACACGCCGTGAAGACAAAATGAGCAGGCAGTCAAGACAAAGCAGACACGCAGTACAGTATAAGGCAATCTAGTCACCTTAGGGGTCGTCGCAAAAAAATTGGTGTTCGGGGGGGGGGGGGGGGGAGGGGTGCGAGCCAAAATCGCAAGTCGACCTACACTATACACATGTACATATGTACATGTGTACGATGTCCATCGTCCAGCATAGCAAGCTGCGTTCATTTCAGAGAGAGTGGTGGAGTCTGAGTACGAAGTGAACGACGTTTGTTTCAAGGACAGTAAAAAATATTTTGCGGCGACCCCTTACTTCTTACTATGTAGGAGGTATGCATGCAATCAACGAGGATAAAGGAGCTTTCCAAAGAAGACAGGTATAACGGAACAGAGCAACAAGTGGTTACGAATTCAATTTAAAAACTCTATTCCTTTCTTTCTTTCGCGGTGCTGGCGGTACGCTAATTGGGTGGATTGCCTGCAACACTCAAGCTCGCACATTCCGCAAACAGTATCTTACAGAAACATGCTACTAAAGGTATCCGTGACTCACGCAAAACTCTAGCTCCTCCAGCTGTGCCACGTGGATGAAGGCCTGCTTGCCTTTGGGCAGTGAGCGTGCCGCTTTGTTCCAGAGCGGCTCCATTTCAAACCAAGCCTGCTGGGAGGCGGCCACTCCCGGACGCTTGTCCAGGTAGGTATCGGTGTCGGAGAGCAGGGAGTCGGGAAGCAGGTCGATGTGCTGCGTTCGGCGCGTTCGCTCGGCACGCACATTTTCAGCGGTTCTGTGAACGTCCATGCGATACAGCACTTGCATGTTGCCCTGAACATACACACGCACACCGAACACAACACACAGCACACAGCACACAACACACCGCAAACAGCAAACAGCACACAGAATACAAAACACAGCACACCGAACACAAAACACGCAACAAACAGCACACAGCAAACAGCACTCAGCACACGAACACAACACACCGCACACTCACAGCACGCAACACACAAAACACAGCACACTCACAGCACGCAACACACAAAACACAGCACTCAGAACATAACACACAGCACACCGAACACACAGTCACAGAACACAGCACACAGCAGAGAAAGAAACAACTGAAATGAGAATAATATTTCATTCGGAGGGGGGGGGGTGCACAAAGGCTACTAGGACAGTGAGTGTGCTGGAAAGCCAGTAGATTGGAGAAGAGGGGCGTGGCATGCAAAGGATACTGCAAAGTCAGTGCACAACTGCACTAAAAAGTTAAAACCGGCGGTTTTCAAAGTGCTCCCTAGTTTTCCAAACTCAACACAATTCCGCACATTTTGCAATCCGGAAATTTACATTCCGGTTTTCCAGACTTTTCTAGACTTTCAGACTATGCTGTGAACCACGAAAACATTACTTGTGTAGTAATCCTCTCTATATGTACTCTTCGGGTAAAACAGAAAGGTTCTAGATGGTACAGTAGAGTGCTGGATGCCCAATGCTGGATGCCCAATGCTGGATGCCCAATGGCAGAGCTATTTTTCAATACTGTTCAGTTTTGTCTGATTATCGCCCTCTTGTCATGTGCATGAAACTCATCAAGATTAACTTCCTCCTTCTCTCTCTCCTTAATCCAGCCCCCCCCCCCTCCCCCTCAATTTCCCTCTCTCACTCCCCTCTGACGGGAGGTCATTGTAGATCTGGCCCAGACTCGGAACATGGCACAAACACTTAAAATACCTTGGCAAAACTGTCTGTCTTAATATTTGAATCAAGTAGAACGGCAGCGGCAGCGGTGTCATTTCCTTACTTTTACTACAAAGTAGATGTAATCATCTTTGAGTGTATTGCGGCTGACCACCTCTCCACTGCGATACTGTACACAAACACGCACGCACACACGCACGCACACACGCACATACGCACGCATGCACGCGCACGCACGCACGCACAAACATACACACAAACATACACACACACACACACACACACACACACACACACACATACACACATACACACACACACAAACACACAAACACACACACCCACACACACACACACACACACACACACACACACACACACACGAGGCGCGTGGCACGGACAAACAAAAATACACGGACACAACAGTATAGCACAATATCACTTGTGGAGTAACTCAGAATGCCAGCAAAGTTAATCACATCATGCATACATCATGCATACATCATGCATACATCATGCATACATCATGCATACATCATGCATACATCATGCATACACCATGCATACATCATGCATACACCATGCATACATCATGCATACATCATGCATACATCATGCATACATCATGCATACATCATGCATACATCATGCATACATCATGCATACATCATGCATACACCATGCATACATCATGCATACATCATGCATACATCATGCATACACCATGCATACATCATGCATACATCATGCATACACCATGCATACATCATGCATACATCATGCATACATCATGCATACACCATGCATACATCATGCATACATCATGCATACATCATGCATACACCATGCATACATCATGCATACATCATGCATACATCATGCATACATCATGCATACATCATGCATACATCATGCATACATCATGCATACATCATGCATACATCATGCATACACCATGCATACACCATGCATACATCATGCATACATCATGCATACATCATGCATACATCATGCATACATCATGCATACATCATGCATACATCATGCATACATCATGCATACATCATGCATACATCATGCATACATCATGCATACATCATGCATACATCATGCATACATCATGCATACATCATGCATACATCATGCATACATCATGCATACATCATGCATACATCATGCATACATCATGCATACATCATGCATACATCATGCATACATCATGCATACATCATGCATACATCATG